GCCGGCCTCGACCCCGCCCGGGCAGCGCCGCCACGTGTTGCTCATGGCCACCACCCGCACGGGCTCCTCGTTCGTGGGCGAGTTCTTCAACCAGCAGGGCAACATCTTCTACCTCTTCGAGCCGCTGTGGCACATCGAGCGCACGGTGTCCTTCGAGCAGGGCCGCGCCAGCGCGGCGGCCTCGGCCCTGGTGTACCGGGACGTGCTGCAGCAGCTGTTCCTGTGCGACCTGTACGTGCTCGAGCCCTTCATCAACCCGCCGCCCGAGGCCCACCTGACCCCGTTCATGTTCCGCCGGGGCTCCAGCCGCTCGCTGTGCGAGGACCCGGTGTGCACGCCCTTTGTCAAGAAGGTCTTCGAGAAGTACCACTGCAGGGACCGCCGCTGCGGGCCCCTCAACGTGACACTGGCGGCGGAGGCCTGTCGCCGCAAGGACCACATGGCCCTCAAGGCCGTGCGCATGCGGCAGCTGGAATTCCTGCAGCCGCTGGCCGAGGACCCCCGGCTGGACCTGCGCGTCATCCAGCTGGTGCGCGACCCCCGCGCCGTGCTGGCCTCGCGCATGGTGGCCTTCGCCGGCAAGTACGAGACCTGGAAGAAGTGGCTGGAGGAGGGGCAGGACCAGCTGCAGGAGGAGGAGGTGCAGCGGCTGCGGGCCAACTGCGAGAGCATCCGCCTGTCGGCCGAGCTGGGCCTGCGGCAGCCCGCCTGGCTCCGCGGCCGCTACATGCTGGTGCGCTACGAGGACGTGGCGCGCAAACCGCTGCAGAAGGCGCGCGAGATGTACCGCTTCGCCGGCATCCCCCTGACCCCGCAGGTGGAGGACTGGATCCAGAAGAACACCCAGGCGGCCCGCGACGGCAGTGGCATCTACTCCACGCAGAAGAACTCGTCCGAGCAGTTCGAGAAGTGGCGCTTCAGCATCCCCTTCAAGCTGGCGCAGGTGGTGCAGGCTGCCTGCGCGCCCACCATGCACCTCTTCGGCTACAAGCTGGCCGGGGACGCCGCCTCCCTCACCAACCGTTCCCTCAGCCTGTTGGAGGAGCGGGGCACCTTCTGGGTCACGTAGGGAGCCTGTGCCCCTCCTTGTGAAAGGCCCGCCCCGCCTTCCTTGCGCCCAGGCCAGCAGGAGACGCAGCCCCGGCAGAGGACAGTGGGTGGTAGTAGCTGCCCCAAGAGCAGGCAGTCAGCCCCTCCTGCAGCCTTAGGCTCCCAGACGCCAGCTTCCCTGGGCAGCGTGGGCCCTGGGGTTTCTTGCTGACCAGGGGCCCTGTCCCGTTGAGGGCCACCCTGATCTAAGGGCCTCTAGTTTCCCCAGCAGGATCAGACAGGCTCTGGCCCATGACAAGCCGCATCCTGCTCTCTCTCTCTCTCTCTCTCTCTGTCTTTCTCTGTTACACTCACACTCACACACACACACACACTCACACACACACACACCAGTGCCTGGAGGCTCTGCAGGCTGCAGTCCAAGTACTTAACAACCAGAAGGGGCCTAGGCTCTGACCAACCGAGTCTTTCTCTGTTACACTCATACTCACACACACACACACACACACACTCACACACACACACACACACCAGTGCCTGGAGGCTCTGCAGGCTGCAGTCCAAGTACTTAACAACCAGAAGGGGCCTAGGCTCTGACCAACCACCCAGACCTCCTGCTGTACTCAGTGTTAACCTTTTCCTTTCAGATTGTGGAGAAGCCCCGTATCTGGGTGGCTGCTTGGGGACAACATGACAGCTCAGGTTGGGGAGGGGGACATTCAAAGCTCATCTGGTGACAGTGGTTCTTTACCAACCACTACAAGTTGATCTGTTTGTTTTTGGTACTGGGGATCGAACTCCGGACCTTGCGCTTTCAAGGTGGACAGTGGCACCACTGCTAGATCCCTGGCCCTCTGATTTGCTATTTTAATAAATGGGGCAGCAGGGCTGGTCACCAATGAACACCAGCCCGGTGTAGAGCTACAGGGCACACGTGTACATAGACACATAACACCACATGCAGACAGAAGGGTGTCATGAAAACATGACTCCTCACACGTGTATGTACAGAGAAGCCTCCTCATTATGCTCACGGGCTTTTTCTTTAGGTGTCACACACCTAAACAGGAGTCTCTCATTTCATTTTTGGGGTTATTCGGAGGGGCAGAAGAAGGAAACACTTAAGGGCAAGGACACTGTTCCCTGGCTGGTGTTGGGACTGAATGGTGGGTGAAGAAATGCCCAGCCCACACCCTGGATTCTCAGGACGACCTCCTCTGACCCCTCACATCCCTGGGCTGGCAGGCCAGGTGTTCCTGAAAGGGCTGCCCATGGCTCATGTGATGCAGCCCAGAGTCCCTGGCCAGCTCCCTGGGAGCTTGTCCATATTTGAAAGCTCCCTTGGGCCCGGCTGGCATATGTAGCTCATTCCCAGGGGACAAAAGACAGCTCCTAGGTCCCGCCTCTTCCGGCCAGGCTTCAACTGGGGCCAGGCTAAGGTTCCAGGTTTTCAGGGAGATGAGTTACACGAGGGTGCATCCCCCTAAGAAGCCTGGCTTCTCCCTGGACGTGGTCCCCATGGTTATGTCTAGGCTGGGAACAGTATTGCTCAACTCAGGATGGGCTGGGTGTTTTACCTGGGGGTTTTCAAGTTATTTGTGGCTTGGTGTCTTTCTTTCTTGCTGTTTCCCCTTTTGCTTCTGCAGTAGTCTGAGCAGAGGGCCTGGGGAAAGCAGAAGGGAGCCCTGGATCCTAGCAGGGGGGCGGGACAGGATGGGAGCCTAGGTGTCCTGTGATCCCCATGGGGAATGGATCTCAGGAACCAGCAGCTTTCTTGGGGTGTCCAGGGCAGCACAGAGCAGCAGCCCTCACCTCTCCAGAGAAGATGCTGGATGTGACAGTCCCTGCCAGGCCCTAACACAGTTCCTCATAATCAAGCAGCAAGGGTCCCCAAAGTGCTGCCATGAATGAGCAAGGGACAAGTGTCCTGCTGGGAAGCTGCTCTTTGCAAAAGTGAGGACACTGGCATGGGACTTGTTACCCCCTGCCGGATGAGCTGCTGGGCCCCAGCACTGTGGACTTGGATCATGCAAGCAGCCTTCTGCCCTGGTTTGCACAGGCTGAGAGCGAGATGTGCAGGAAGCTGGCTCTCATTTGGGATCCAAAGGGCCACCAGCTCTGGAATTTGACCACAGGGCCGAGTGGGTCAGGATGTTTCTGACAGGCCCAGGAATGTCGGTCCTTCATCCCTACACCCCCATCCCTCTCTGTGGGGCTTCTCCTAGGGGCCGTCCTGGTGGGACAACCAACAACTGCTTCCTCCCCGCTGCTGGGTGAGGTCTCCAGCTCAGCTCTCCGAGGACTGCACTGAGTACGGACCTTTGGGACCTCCCACACTGCACCAATGTGTACACTGCAAGTGAGTACTTGTTTTGTGAAGAGACGGACAATATCATCTGCAGGAACCCAAAGCTCTACCCAAATCAAGAAAGACAAATAATCCTAGAAACCATTCATACCCATGGCATGAGGACACCCAACGACGGTTCCAAAGGTATGAAGGGCAAAGTGTGCTGCACGTTTGCCCTGGTTATGGTCTGAGGTGCCCCTTGCTTCCTCTCTTTTGATCTGAAGATGAACACAAGGATCCTTTCTGCCGCATTGCCTTTGCCAAGTGCCTGAGGTTGGACAGCTAAGTGGGTGGGGGCGACCTTCAAACATCCGTGGGGCTCTGCAATGCCATGGGAGCCCGTGGGATTTGGCAAGGGCAGGGTGGGGGTGGCTCCTCCGATGTAGTCGGAGTCCTGCATTTGGGGTTTCAGCATGGAGCTGGGAGGGAGAAGGTGGCATCATGCCTGGCGCGGTGGCAGCCTTTCCTGCATCTCCAATGATGGCAGGCACTGAGAGGTCACAGGGTCCCTGTCCCAGCGGATGGACCTGGCCAAGTGGCAGAGTGGAGATGAGGAAGGAAGGGGTCTGGTCCAAGCCCCCAAAGCCTCTTCCATCCCAGAGCCGTTATCACCGACTAGAGGGCCTGTACCCTGAGAACTCGATCTTGAGGGACAGCAGCAGAAGAGCAGATGGCTGTATCCCCGGGGCTGTCCTCTCCCCGTCCTGGCCCATGGCTCACAGTGCATGGTCTCTCAGGGATGGCCCCGAGGCGGGGAGAGAAGGGGCCTATGAGAGGGCTGTCACTCTGTACAAACTGAAGGGAGGAGCGTGAGCTGAAATCGGGGCTCGGAGCTGTTGGCTTTGTCTGTGAAGATCCCTAGGATGTGGTCCAGACAGACGGTGGGGAGAGGCCGCCTCCCCTGTCAACGGCCCACAGCTTCAGAGAGAGCAGAAGCTACTCTACCTCAAAAGTATGAAGCAGAATTGGCAACTTAAGAACTTCGATTAAGCTTTGTCCTTGGGGACCCCATAACTGCATAGGAGGTGAATTTATGATGTGTTTCTAAGGCTACAGACCTGGCGCCACCCTCCCAGGCCTTAGCTCGTGTTGTAGCTGGATACTTTATGGGGACAGGATGACCCAGGAAGCCTGCTTCCTCCGGCTTGGGCTTGGCCTGGGCACACTGAGAGGGTCCATTTCCTCTGTGTTCCAGCCCCCCTGGGACCTGGGCCATGTTTGGTGGGCCACATGATCCCATCTGTGGCATCCACGGCCGTGGCACGTACATGGGTGTCCACGTGCGTGAAAGCATAGCTCATTCTACTCTGCCTGTGGCGCTACCCCCGCTGCTCCCAGGCCCTTTGTTCCCAGATGTCCTTGAGGTGGCTTCGATCTGCAGTCTCGGGCAACACCAGCGCTGCCCTTCAGAGAGAGCCAGCTGCCAGCGGCGCTCAGGGTCTGCTTTTCGGAACAGAATGTGAACTCATCGCCTGATGGCTTACTTGACTTATTTAATTAAAGATGAAAACATGCAATGAGCACTTTACAGTGTTTCTTTTCCCTTTGTTCTCAGCAGCCATTGAGTCATAAAAACATTAATAACAGGAAAGAAATTAACAGCAGTAGGAAGGCTATGGTTTCCAGCACGAAGGAGAGCAGGGAGGGGGCCCGTCCCCAAGGTGTCCCCAAGGCACATGGGAGGAATGGGTGCGCACAGGGGCCATGAAAATGTGCTGTATGGGTCCAGATGTCAGTGCTGGTGGTGGCTGCTTGGAGGAACCAGCAACAAGGATGGCATCCGAGATGCAGTAAAGAGCCAGGCCTTACAGGGCGGGGCAGGAGCATTAGGCAGGCTGTCAGGCCACCTGGACACAGGTCTCAGACCTGCCACCATCTGGCTATGTGACCTTGGTCGAGTTCCTTACATTGGGTCCCAGTTTCTTTTTTGTTGCTTTTGTTTGCTGAGACAAGGTCTCACTATGTAGCCCAAGCTGGACTCCCAGCTCACAGCAATCTTCCTGCCTCAGCCTCCTGAGTGCTAGAATTACAGGTGTGCAGCCAGTGATTTAACTCAGTGGCACCGAGCCTGCCTCCCAAGCACAAGGTCCTGAGTTCAAATCCCAGTACTGCCAAAAAAAAAAGGATTACAGATGTGTGCGCCACCAGCCCCAGCTTGCAGTTTTCTTTTTGAATGATGGTATGTGCTCACTTCAGCAGCACATATACTAAAATTGAATGAAGGGTGTAAGTGCCCTTTTAAGGATTCAAAAGTCAGTTGGAAGGGTAGGCAATACCCTGTCACCAGAACAACTGTACAGGTCTATTGATGTGGAGATGCTGTTTATGACTTCATTTAGTCTTCTGTAAAATCTTAAAAACCACACAAGATGATTGCTAAGGACGTTTTCAACCAAGAAATCAGATGGAGTCTGTAGTTACTTTTTTCTCATCTCTGAGAGAAATACCCGACCCCCAAAGTTAAAGGGGGAAGGTTTATTTAGCTCACAGTGTGTAGAGCCCATAATCGGCTGTCACAGGGTGGCACGTGGTGGAGGGGCAGAGGAGAAACAGTTCATGGTGCCCACACAGTACCAAAGCAGCAAGGGACCATGGCAGGGCTGTCTGCCCTTTTATCTCATCCGGACGACTTAGGTCAGGCGGCACTCACACCTTCAGTCCGAGTGCTCTCAGCCTCGCCCCACTGTGAATCAGTCGCACACTCTGGACTCAGCCACCTCTGGAAAGGCCTGAGGCTTTGGGGGGACATCTAAGACACGAGCCAAAACAGAGCCCTTTCAAATAGCGATGACATTGATCTCTCCATCACAGACACTTAGTGCGACTTCGATTTCAGCCCTGCGTCGCTTAGCTCTCCGTTACTGTAACACCCGAGCTAATCATCTTATAAAAAGCAAGGGTTTATTTCGGCTCACAGTGTTGGAAGTTTCAGTCCACAACCAGGTGGAACCATTTCTCATCTAAGAGCTGCTCACTGGGGCCAGGCACTTCTCGGGAGAAAAGAGTTTCTTCAGGAAACAGGGGGCGGAGCTGGTGCGGCTCTGTGGGTCTCAGGGCTCAACGGCAGAGCCAGCAGCCACCGTGAAGAGGCAGAGGAGA